AAACCCTCCCACATACACGCCCCCCCCTTCCCGTTTCATGGCAGCCGAAGCAGCAGCAAAGCAGAAGCTGACAGGTGTCCACAAATGCCCCCTCACCAGAACTCAGTGCCGCCTCCTTTGCGTGGCCCGAGCGTGTTCTTGCCATGATCCCTGTGGCCTTTGAGCCGTGGGTAGTGGGCCTCGGCAGCCCCCCCCCCCCTCACCCGCTGTTAGGGAGACCAGGCGAGGCCCCGCTTGACCTCAGCCTCTCGGCTTTGCTTCTGCCCCTGCAGGTACCCAAACACGGCCTGTGAGCTGCTGACCTCGGACGTGCCCCAGATCAGTGACCGGCTGGGGGGAGACGAGGCCCTGTGGGACGTCCTCTACGGCTTCTTGGACCAGGAGCCTCCCTTGAACCCCTTGCTGGCCAGTTTCTTCAGCAAGACCATCGGCAGCCTCATCGCTAGGAAAGCGGAGCAGGTGAGGGGCTCTTTCCTCCCCCACACCGGCTCCCTTTTAAGAGCCCCCCCCCCCTGAACCTCTGCAGAGGTGGATGAGGGTGTGAGAAGGCCCCTGCATTCGTGGCATTCACCGTGGCCTCTGCTTCTCTCTCGCTGCCCTCTGCAGGCTGGGCTGGAGGGAGGGAGAGGGAGGGAGGGGGAGCGCCTGGGGCAGGGACGCTGCCTCCCTCTGCTCTGCTGGTGCTTTTCCTGAAAGGCCCTGCCGGTCGGTCGCCCCATGTGGCTGATTTGAAAAAGGAACAACCGCACAACCGGACTGGATCAGATCCAAAGGAGCTGGGGGGGGTGGGGGGTGCAGGAGGTTCTGCCTCTGCCGCTCAGCCTTTCCCTGCCAATCTCCAGGAACAGCCTGAAGCTGCTGGAGCGGAGGAGGCAGGCAGGGCCCTTCGGCCTGGGAGCTCAGCTGCTGCCCCCCCCTTCAGCTCCCGGGGGTTGAAGCCCCCCCAGAGGTGGTGTGGTGTGAGTGGGCTCCAGTGGGAGGGAAGGCTTCCTTGAGGGAGGGGCTCCTTCCTTTGCTTCTTGAGGAAGCTTTGCTTTGCCCCCTCCTCAAGAAGCCTGGACCATTTCTGTCTGCTTTCTGGTTGAGAAAGAGATGGCGCTGCTGTCAGACGACAATGCCCCCCCCCCCCCGTTGCATGTTTGGATGATCTCTAGCAAGGCGGGGTGGAGATTGTGCTTCTACGCTTGTACCACTTGACCACTTGATGGTAGCTTTCGATACCGTCGTCCCAGGATCCGCCCAGAGGACCGGGGGGGGGGGGGGGGGGGGG